AGCAGGGAGAGTCCCGAAAGCGCACTCACAGAACATAGATAACAGTTCAAGTGTCCCAGACCGAGAGCTGACTGGGATGGGGGGGGGGAAAGGCCTTGGGAGAGCGACCACCTGGAGCGAGATGACCCGGAGCAAAAGAGATCCGGAACCAAAAGGGCCGATCTTCTGGAGGGTCCTCACCTATATCTTGGGCATGATGTGTGTGTTATGGAATAGACTATTGGCCGCTCTGGGCCTCAATCCTGAACCTAAGATCAAATCCTGGGCTAGTAACTGGGGCTGTGCTCCCTCCCAGCTTCTCCTGTTTGCAGACAGCCAGAGAAGCTGAAAGACCTTGGCAGCCACATAAACATCAATTTTTATCAGCTTTCTTCTGAGCACAAATCCAAAACACAGCCTCTTGCTAGCTATTATGAAGAAAGTTAACTCTGTCTCAGCTTAACCCAGGACACTTAAGATAATTGGGAAATATTTATGAAGTGGCTATTAATTCTGTGTGATGCATTATCATATGCAAGATATGTAATACGCACTGGCTTACTGAATTGCCAATTAAGGGAGCAGTAGAGTTCAGAAATGCTGAAAATTTTGTCAAGAGCACCACCCAAAATGGGTAAATGCTTGCTAATTTTGTTTCAGGGTGGCTATATAAATCTGCCAATAATCTTTAAATGTACTAAAGTACTTTAGAAAAGGTATTTAAATTTAATTAATGTATAAATAATTTTAAATGTTCAACTATAATGTTAAAAGTTTTCCATCATGACAAAGCCCAGCTAGAAATTTTGCAGTTACATTCACTGAAACTCAATAGATCCAAATGCAAAAACAAATTTAAACTTAATTAATTCCCAGATAAAGGAAGGAGACTTGTATGAAATAATAGACATGAAATACTATAATAAAAAATACTATTTTTAAATGTTACTCAACAGCTTATAGTTTGATAGTGAATTAACATTCAATATAACTGAACACAAATAATCATCTTTACTTGTGTGGAATTTTAGACTAGTTCTTTCATTAGGAAAGTTTTGGCAAACTTGCAGAGGAAGTATGAAAAAGTTTTGCAGCCTCTCAGTTTTAGTTTGGCAGACTGGTTTAGTCTTGAAACCATAATGACAAGGAGCATCCTTATTGCATGTGTGTTAATAGTTCTGAAATGTTTCAAGAATTAAAGAAGAAATAAAGAAATATAGATAATTGTTTCAGGAAATAGATATTATAGGGATTTCCTAAAAGTTTTGTCAGAATACATCCATTTCCACTTTACAGATGGAATAACCAGTTATCAACTATTCTGAGATTTATAATGTAGCTCGTGTTTTCTCTATATTGTTTTGACATACTTGCATCAGAGCTCACGCTTTTCTTCTGGTGATGCTGTTTGGATGCAAGCAGATAGTGTAGGCTTGTGTGTGCCTTGAATCATGTTACAGGAGAAAAGTAATGTGTCTAAGCGTACATGTTATTTGGGGCTCAGCCAGACCACTGCTGTGTATCCTGTCTGTCCTTCAAGTGCCACCATGTGTCTGATGCTAGGCACAGAAATTGACCAAAGGTCTTGATGTTACATGCCATAAGAGCGTTTGGGATTTATAGGCAGCCTGTGGACTTCATTGATGGAGGCAGATAATCACTAGACATACTATGAGGACTATGTGGATGTTTTAAATCTATCCCTGGCCTAGGCAACATCAAGCCTGATCATTGTGCCTTTTTTTGCACTTGGTTTTTATTAGTGCTTTTTCTAATCTGTTGGTGTTTTGTTTTAAAACATATACAACTCTAGAGTTAACATTTGAATGAAGCTACTTTCAGATAAATCAGATGAAGACAAAACTTCAATAACTGTGCAAAGCAGTTTCAGGGATTTTGCTTTTCTGGCAGTTATGTCCAAGCCTAATTATTTTTTTTTATTTTTACAGTTACTATGGAAGATTCTCAAAGACGCAGTATCAGACCTGAATTAGGGCAGTTTCAGTTTTACTAATCGGTAGCTAAGATATTAGATGGACTAGGAATGAAAGAGACAGTAGAGGGAGCTGTAAAGAAAGGAAACCTCTCGTTTCCAGCTGGAAGCCCTGTTGATATCTTGGTAACGTCAAGTGTGTGAACGTGTCTGTTTGATCTTCCTCCTTCAGTTTCAGTATCTTTTAGGAAACACAGTCGAGGAGAAGGAGGAATTTATTACTTATACTTCAAAATCATAACACTGTTCCTGAAACAAAAACAGTAAAAAAAATTATAAAAAGGACAAATGCCCTTCTGCCCCCCAGGGGAAAAACAAACAAACAAGAAAAAAGGCAGAAAAAAAGATGCTTTTGAGCTTTGTAATACATTCATCACTGATGAAATGTTACTGATGCTGAGTAATGGACTGAAAACTGCACACATCATCGTCAGAGTACAAAGAATATATGTGTAAAAAGGGGAAAGCAAAGTTAAATAAGCTGTAGCACCAAGTTTTCAAAGAAAATTCAAAGTAAGTTTCACTGGATTAGGTGAAACAACTAAGGAACTGGTGTCTCAGTATAGTAGGAGATGCACAAGAATTTGAAAAGGAGTTTTACTCCTTTAAAGTTAGAAATTGTGAGCTTTTTGTTTTGGTTTTATGTATAAATCTCATTTCCAGCAGCAGCTACAGCAAAACTTTTGTCCATAATTTTAAAATTAAAGGCTGCATTTTCCTATAATGCAGTTTCAGGCATGAGATGTCAGAAGCGTCATTAGCATGCTTTTACTTATATTTTGCTTTCTTATTTTGTAGGTTACGTTTTGAGGCTGTATCTCAGACTTCTCCTACTACCTTGTACCTCTTTCTGAGGAATATATTTGCTGTCTGTGACATGAACATCATGGAAGGAGCACTCTTCTGTGATTCCATCTGTTCCAATGAGATACTTTATAAGGAACAAGTATGTGTGGCTTAAAGTAATACTCTGGAATTGATGTTACTTTTTGATCAGCTTTATTTCTTAATTTCAAGATAAGTGGTGCAGAGTACTTAATTTTCTGTTAAGCTACCTGGTCTTCCTTTCTGAAGTATTTTAGTAGCTGTTGGTTATTTTGTATCCTGGTGCAAAGATGTTTTTTGAGTGAGTTATTACCTCATTAATAGCATAATCCGAATCCCACTGATTCCAACTCACGAAGGCTTTTCCTTGACTTCTGCAGTGGTAGACTATAATGTAAAAAAGAGGTATAATCATTGCTAGTTTTGACCTACTATGATGCAGCTTGGATGTTTAATGTAAACTTTTCTGCTATTTAATACATATATTTTCATTAATATTGAACTTCCAACGGGGTTTCATGGTTTTAATATGCTAAGCTTCTTTTAGCTTATTTCAGACTTTCTTTACAGTATAATGGCGTGTTAATAAAACAAAATGTTTCTTTGTTATTTGGATAACCACTTTGCCTTCTGGATTATTACATTCCTATTCCCCTCTTTCTTTACTGAAGTACTTGTTTCTTAAAAATGTGAGCAGCTGATTACTCAGTGACTTTACTGGATCTGCTCACCCATGCAAGGATTGCAGCAGATAACTGGAAGGCAAAGAAAGGAATTGTTATCCTCCCCTTACCTATTCTGGGAGGTTAACATGTGAAATGTCCATTCAATACAGGTTGGGGTTGTTAACCAGGCTTTGTAAACTGTATGGAAAAATTGAGAGGGCAAAATTAGGTCAAGATCAATGGTTTCCTTTAGAATAATGAATAATGTTGCTTTGTTTATATACTTCTAACAGGTGTCAATGTAAATTAATTTTTAAACTTTTATTTGCTGCTTACACTGCTTTTTAAACTGGTTATCATCTGTGTTCTTTCACTCTTAAATGATCTAAAAGAACAGAATTTATACTTGAATCAAAATGTGGTTTTCTTTTACAGGTTGGTAGATTAGCAGAATGTGAAAGAATGACTGCAGCAATTGAACTTAGCAATTGGTTGAATGATGCAAGTTATGCCCTGCAGTCTGTTGTACAATGTTATGGTCTCCTTGCTCCAATTATTTATCACAAGATTTCTTCAGTGCCAGTCGTGCAGGTGAGAGTACTTTAAGACAAAGCAACTGGCATCCAAGTCCTGTGGTTACAATGATTCAAATTAAACTTATAATGGCATGGGAGGGCCAAACATCTAGGCTTCGAGTTCTTAGTAGCTGCTGAAAGAAAAGCTTTTTATGGTTTTATGTGTTCCCAATGCATATATGTTCAGTATAAGCTGCCCAGATTCTACTCTCAGATATGCTAAAGTAACTGCAGTATGTTGATTGTTGCTTCAGGATGATTTTTTGGTATTTTTAAACTATATTAGAATCTATGATGTGACTTCTACTGGAATGCCATTCGCAAATGGGAATTTTGAGGAAAGAAAAGCAGCATTTGCATTTGGCTGTTTTGGAATTTTTGCTTCATATACCGTTTTCTTCTTCTTAAAAAGAAGGCTAGTCAATGTTTTGATAATGCAGTCTTTAGCTTTCAGTCATGTGTTCTTTTCCAGAAGCAAGCACCTTCTCTTTGAAAACAGAGTACCTGAATCCTTTGGTGCCATTTCTGAAGCAGTAGACATGGTTTTTAGATTCAGCAAGAATAAGTAGAAACATGCAACTTTTTTCTAATTAGGTAGTTTTGTCAGGGAGCATCAGTAAGAGCATGTTTGCTTTATGAGGAAGGATGAGGTGACCGCAGTGCAGGCAAGGCGCAGACTAGCAGCACCTGAACATGGCAGACAGAGCAGGGTATTGGTAAGAGGATTCACTGAGAGTACAGAGAAGGCGAAGTTATTGGGATGGTTCAGGGTCCATCCAGGAGAAAAAGGCAGAAGGATTTGGAGCCAGCGACTGGAGACAAGGCTATAACACAGGTCCAAGGTCCATCCAGGAGACAGAACTGAAGACCCGCACACCAGTACCATAGCTCAAGCAGGGACTGAAGACCTATGTCTGAGCTAAAGTGAGACTCCTGGGCCCCTAGGCAGAAGGTGTGGGAGGAAGCCCCAAGTGAGGCTGCTCAGGGAATGACTATTGGGGTGCTCCGCGACTTCACAAGTTTTTAAGAGTGTTTAGAAAAACAAAAATCTACTTAGATACAAAGATAGCCTCTTGCTTAAGAAGTCATTGGCTGTGATGACCTACGAAAGGCATAGCTAGCAACTGGAAATGGCTTATGTTTCAGATTTCCTAATTAAAGGGAAAAATAATTTAGTCACGTGTTCCTTTCATGTCTGTTAGACAAAAATGGGGAAAAGAAGTCTTTTATTGTTGGAGCATACTGGAAACATTTTTCTTTCATTTAAAGTTTGGACCAGCTCAATATAGTTTAAAGCAGTCCTCTGATAGGAGTATGTAATGTCACTGAATTAAGCATTCTTTGATTTCATGTTAATTAAATCAGCAAAAATATCTGTCATGTATCTGTAATTTAACATCTGTGACTTTATATGAACATGTCATTTATTCCAAAGGGCTGTGGTTGAAATATTGACTCTGTTAAATTCAATGGAAATTTGATTATTGGCTTTTGTAGAGCTAGCATTTCACCATGTATTTTAGATTTTAAAGTATTTTTAAGTTCACCATCAAATAAAATAGGCTGTACAGAGATACAAGCTTCTAAGTGTGTTGCGGACTCCAAACTTTATTTTAACCCTTGTATTTACTTACAGATCCTCATTAAGTGCTTGGCTGTCCTTCAAGAAATTCCAAGTGCTACCTTGCAGAGGAGGCAGGCAGGATGTTATGAGAGCATTCAGCATATGATAGCTTGTACTTCATTTTATACAGCAAAGGTATAGTGTGGATTATTGTGTTTACCGCTTAGTTTAAGATATAGCTCTTGTCATTTAGAGAAAAAAAAAGTTTTAGTAACCTGGCCTTCAGACTGGTATCTTAGAGAACCAGCATTCTTAAATAGTAAAGGTATAGAAATATTTATTTGTATCTTTGTACCAGTGCATTTTATATAATAATGACATTTTGACTTTTTAATAGAATTGAGGATTTTCATTTGTTTAGAAAATAGACTGTAATTATTACCCCGTGACATGAAATATGTATTTTACATCATTGTATGTATTTTTACACTTAAGGCAGTATTACCTTCAGGAAGGCATATGTGTAATATATAAATGTAAAAGTTTATTGACAGCAAACAAGCCATATTTGTGGTTTCATTCAGATTGACATATATGGTTTATTTGACAATTAGATACAAGAGACTTTATGGTATTTGGCCCCACATGCTGGCAGGAACATAAACACCTGGACTTTTAACCATAATACATATCTGTAGATCACATTTATGATTCAGATACTCTATTTAGTGAGATGAGGAGAAATGTGGTACAGGTAGGATTTTTTTCCTCAGGTATAGAGACATACTAGCATTAAATTATCTTCCACGGTAAATGTATGATGCTGAAAAAGTCATGTTTCCTCTAGCTTTAAGTACACCTCAGGTAAGAGCTCTTACCAAAACTGAGGTGTGGCTGATGCTTTGAGGGATTGCCCTGTGTTGGTGATCCCTCAACCTGGTCTTTATAGGAGCTGGATCTCTGTGCTCACCTCAGAAGACCAGAGCAGTGTCAAAAATCCTTAAAAGTGGACTGCAAGAAGAGACAGTTTTAATTCTTTTAAAATGTATGAAGATTAAAATTTTAAGCCCTACTGTTGCCATTTTCATGGTATTAACCAATTACTTCATGGCTGTGAGGGCAGTGTCAGGGTGAGGCGAG